TTTTTTCATTTACATATGTTCTGACTAAATAAATTTCTTCAGAGAAAAAATAGATATTATTATAAATAAATAATAAATATTATTATAAATGAATAAATTAAAATAAAGAAAAAACATAGCCATTTAGCTGATTTTTTCATGTAAAGGCCAAAAATGGTGATTTTTTGAAATGATTGTATGGGGAACCCCCCAGGGGAGTTCCAGGGGGTGTGCCACTGGCATGGATGGATCGGCCGTCCAAAGTTAGTGGGGTTCGGTCATACATTTGGACTCGATTGGAGCACTCTAAATGGGTCAAAGTGGGATTTTTCAAAATTTGCCCCTACCCAAAAGTTTGACCCAAATTGGGGGACATCAGAATTCGTTTTAGAGGTATGGTTCCTTCGGCAAAGTTTCTTATTTTGATCCCTAGAATACGATTTTCACAGAGCAATGAGCGATTTTTAAATCGACCCGCCCTAATATATATATATATATGTGTGTGTATGTAGTTTTTTTTATAGATGACCTAATGGCAAAAGTAAGTAGCTAGAGCTATTGCGTTGTAGTCTTTTAGGTGCATCTTCATTCTTCATTCTTCATCTAACTAAACTAAATAATAAAATTATAGTTTAAAAAACTAAAACCTCCCTATTATAATTGCCATTCCTACAGTCATCAGGTATGTAACTTGAGAATAGAAATCGCTGCATCTTTTAGGCGCATCAATATTACATAGTTACATCCCGAGCTAATAAAAGGAAGGTAATAAAAAAGGTGGATTTTTATTGTACTAATTATTTTCATCACAATAATCTGCTATTTTGTATAACATTTTTAATTCATTTCTAAAGTTCTTAATAGTACACAATAATTTGGTGAAAGGATTTTGTTTAGCATCAAGTTGCAGAACAAAGAGGTTCATCCTCAAAAATGGGTTTAACATTTAGCCGCCCATTTACATTATAAGGTTATTGGCATGCAGGTTGCTCTTGGAACCGATGAACAAAACCGACCACGATTTCTCCGGCGCCTCATTTTTCTTCATTGCATTCATTGATTGCGTCTTTCTGCAAGTTGATTCATTACAATGATCAATCGGAAGCCGAAACATTTTGTCGTTTGCTCAACTCACCTCAGATCACTAAAGAATTTACTACAACTCTCGGGGATGCAGGTCAATTTTGGCTTCGGTTTCAATTCGAACGAGAATTCACTTTTGCAATTTTGTACCTTTGCCTCTTCGCGCGAGTCGGCGTACTTCAGTGATGATTTCGATGTCTTCGTTTTTGGCAGAGCACCGTTGGACATTGTTACACTCAGATAATAATTGAGGTGGGGCTTGTCGTTCAAAAAGTGTGAGGTCTTCAATGATCCAAATATCTGAGATTCTAGTAAAGAAATAGGTATACGTTTTTATTTCGCCCATATCCTTATACACACAAGCATATTTCATAAATCTTAGCTAAAGCGTATCTATACCTTTTAATTTTTTATAATCAGTTATTCTATCCTTATTGGTTGGGAACAGTTAGGCGGTATTTTTGATAAAATAAAAACAACTGGTCCAAAATTTAAAATATACAATTTATAAAAACAAATCGTGATTATTCACGTGCAAAGAGATCAATCAAAAATGACAAAAATTTCGAAGCATTTGCTGTGTGCAATTAATTTTATTTTTTTCTTCATTTATGTATATTTAAAGGGGCACACGCACTCGTACAAAGTGAAAACGCTTCCTTGGTAAGCAGCCAACTTTAGTTTTTTCACGACTTGGTTCGCACCTTGCACAGGAACTTCAGCCGCGGTTTCATTGTCATGTCTATTTCTGTCCTAAAGTAGTTGAGAGAACCACAGACGTCTGGCATGCTTCCTAGTTGTAGATATCCCGCGATTTCGACTAACAAACCAACTCGCTCATACCCTTCAATCCCTTTGTGTCTTGGCCAGCAAAGCGACTCGTCTGTTAACGCAGATTTCGTCTATCCCATTCATTCATTGTCTAGCGGAAAGGGTTTAGGATTTAGAGTACCATTTCCCAGATTGGATAAAGAAGATTTACTTCGAGCCCTGCCGCTCCAGTCCAGTTTCAATTTCGTCTAGACAATTTCGCTCATCGACTTAAAACATCTGCCAAAGTTACTAATTGCTCCTCGATAATCAGCATAAGCTATCATTCTAGGAGCCTCTCCTCTTAACTTGAGTAAGGTCAAGGGACATAGATCACCTTCCAGAGGATTGCTTCGAATTACCTTTCTTATCATCGTCGCTGAACCCCACTTAACAATTACTGTTCGACAATTGAAAGTATCGGCAACAAAATAATGTATGGCAGGATGTCTCACTGGAAGCGTTTTTGAGAGTTCCACATTGGTCGGAAAACCCCGATTGTGTGTTTCGTTGTTGGGCAGGACCTTTTGTATTTGCTACAAAAAATTATGAGAAGCTGTCTTTGTTGATTTACCCTTCGTGCAGGCATTTTTTTGATTCATAAGTTCAATTGAATAACTTTATGTTACTCATACGCCCCGGCCTCAATTTTTCTGGCATCAACCATATTTTAATAAAGAAAGCCACTTTTAGGACTAACAAAGGCTACTTTGGACAAGAAAATGTCTTCCTTTTATTTGGATTCACACAGGGGCAACTATTTCTGAACACTACTTTACATACATACACACCCTGTAGCGAAATTTGGAGATAGTCTAGCGTTGCGTTAGTTCCGCAGTACACTTGTATATATTTCAAAATGTCTCCGAGCAAGCAAGCAATTACCCCAGCAATGGTCGACCGCTGTTTGTGATATTTTTGGTTGCGATACATGTTGCTGGGAATAGGGATTGAACCTTGAACGTATCGTGTAGCACCTCTAATGTTCGGCTATGGCGGCCGACAAGTGGTGTTGTGCCTTTTTTATGAATCGGATCTTCGACATTCATAAAATTAAACTTTTTTCAAAAATTAAAAATAAATTTATTTTCTCTGAACTGTCCAAAGTGGAACTAGTTGGGGGGAACGCATTCAAAGCTTCTTTAGAGGAGCAAAAGTCCTTTATACTTTATCGAATCAAGTTTGAAGGAGTTAGGTTATTTTCTCATATTACACGTTATTTACTTATATTTTTATATATATTTTTAGTGACCTACGGCCATATTATTCACTTGTCGTTATTCCTTCTTAAATATTCAACGGCCTAGTAATTCTGAGCTATCTGAGCGACGGCGGAATAATTTTTTTGCATATTATTCACTATGGAATGGCGACGAATAACTCTCCGGCAGAGGAATAAATATTTTTGTATGTCAAAATGTTATAAAATTTTTTAATTATTATCTTTTTGAATTTTCAACGCCAAGCACTTTGCCTGCTTCAAATCAAATGCATTAATCAAAAATATAAATATGTACAGTGGTGGCCTTATAATTAGAAACGACTTTGCTGCATATAATTTTGCTAATATATTTTAAAAATTTATTTCGCCACATCAAAACTATTAATTAGAAATAATAAAGTAACAAGTTATCTTTGAGTTTAACATAAGAAAATTGACAACATTAACACTATTTTTAAGAAAATTAACTAAACCCAAAAAACACCGATTTCAGTTTGGTCATATGATTAGAAACGGCAGCGACAACTTAAAAATATCTTCACAAAGTTAAACAAAATGGTCATAATTTTTAATATCTTGTGGGATAACCCTTATGTTTGATAACATTGTCCAATCTTCTCGGTAAACTTTGTATTAAATGTTGACATGTTTGGACAGATATGCTGTTCCAGCTCTGCTGCACCAATTGAAACAATTCATCATTATTTCGCGGTTTCTTGTCCTTGAGATCTCGTTTCACAATTGCCCATAAGTTTTCAATCGGATTGAGATCCGGACTTTGCGGGGGCCAGTCCAAAACATCAATATTTTGATCCGAAAGCCAGCTCTTCACTAACCTGGAAGTGTGTTTTGGGTCATTGTCATGTTGGAAAATGTAATGGACTGGCATATTCTCAAAGGAATATGGTTCCATTACATTCTCCAGAATATTTTTATATTGATGTTGGTCCATTATTCCTTGAATTCGCACAATTGGGCCCACACCACGCCAGGAAAAGGCTCCCCAAACCATAATAGATCCGCCACCGTGTTTTACCGTTTTCACAGTGTACCTGGGGTTTAAAGCCATGCTTGGAGGACGCCTCACATACGTTTTTCCATCGGATTGGAATAAATTAAACTTCGATTCGTCACTCCAGAGAACTCTATTCCAGTATCGTGGATGTTTATTAAGCATTTCCTTTGCGAACCGCAACCGCCTCTTAATATTTTTTTTTGATACATGCGGTTTTTTTTTGTGCAATGCACCCACGAAGTCCCGACTCTTGTAAGCGCCTTCTTATCGTCCGAGCGGAGATTTCCGCGTTAATTTGATGCCCAACTTCAGCCTTTATTTCACGCGAAGACATGAATGGGTTGTTCTTGCTGGTCCTACAAATAAGCCTATCTTCAGTTGGAGTAGTTTTTCGAGGCCGGGGCTTCCTGCTAGGGGTTTCAAACGTCTTGATTTTATTGTATAAATGAATTGCTCCAAATACCATCTTTTTGGAGCAAGCAAACCTTTGTGCGATAGCCGACATCGACAGTTTCTCTTTCTGATAACACTTCACAATTAACTCCCTCATTTTTGGAGTGCATGACTTTTTTTGCCCATTCTAACAACTAAAGTCTATCAAAATTATTGCAAGCTAACTATGGCTCCTTTCGAAGTATACTCACTTTATCGCTAACTCCAAGACAAGTCTAGAAAATAAAGAAAAAACTGCGCGTTTCTAATTGCGTGGCCAGCCAAGAAACACACACCGCGAAATAATTTTAATTTTTTTTTAATACCCAATCATCGAATCAGCACGTGTTTGTTTAACAACAATGTTCATGGCCTACTCTATGAATAACGGTGCTCATCACTTACAGTGTCCGTCTTAAACAAACTTGTACAGTGATTTTGGTTTTTCCAGCACGTCGTTTCTAATTATAAGGCCACCACTGTATACCACAAAAATAAATTTTCTACATAATTGCATAATCGCGTCATCGATTAGTAAATTCAGTTAAGCTTTTTTTATGAAATGCATATGAGCAGGAAATAATGTTACTCATACGCCATGTACGAGTATCCAAGCGTTTGACCAATCGTAAGTGAAGACGATAACAATTGATTACGCGGTGGGGATTAGACATAGCGTAGTAAATACCTTTGTAAATACATATATAGATAATTTCTTCCTCTTAAATGTGACAATTTTATGATTTTGATAAATTTGATTTGACTTAGACTATCTGAACACTTGTCGTCTAATCATAGTTGCGTTATCGTTTCGCCTTGAAATTTTAAGCCGAGCACATGCATTTCGAAGGAGATCTCCACACTTGTCGTTAGCGACTTGTTATCGGCAAATTATAGAAGATGCAGAAGCGGATAAGTACGGCACTGTCGTTTGCTAATCGTTGTGCACGTATTGTTTTATGGGGAAAAATTATTGAAAAAGTTAATATTTTCATTAAAAATGCATAAAAATTCGTATTTCTTGCATAAAATCTGTGGAAATAATTAAGAAGTGGATAATTGCAATTAAATTCAATAAAAGATAGAGTCTCTGCGTGCGTGCACGAAACACATTTCAGGAAAAGAAAAGAAGAGATATTACTGAAAAATTATGTTTAAAATTGTTGCAGCATAGTCCATATTTTAAAAATTGCAGATTTTTGTAAATATTTCGCGAAAATATCAACCAGAAAAACAGAAAATACCTGCTCCAAGTGAATTTTTAGACGCCAAATGAATTGAAGTACCACGACGGAGTATGCGAAAGTGTAGTCATCATGTACTCGTTGCATCATGATTGTAACGATGAAGCAACTATGATTAGACGACCAATGTGCAGAAAGCCTTAGTCTGAGATTATGTGGACAATATTTGTTAGAATTTCATTAATTTAAAAATTCGAAAAAGATAGAGCGCATTGTTACACCATTATTAGACTACGCCTAGAAGTTGCGGAACGGGTGACAGTTAAAAAAATAGACAAAAACATAAAAAAAAAAATAAAAAGTTATGAAAAATATCGGAGTTACAAAAGCCAAGCCATTTCGGTGCTGGAATGCCCCGTATTAGGGATGTTTTTATGACATGATTCAGGTAATTTAGGTAAATTAAAACAAAACATGGTTGCGCCAAATTCGTCTGCATAACACCTATTTAAGTCACATACGCAAATACATAGTTACAAAAAAGAAAGAATAGCGGCCGGTCCAC